TTGGTTGGTTACTGGTAGGTGGAGCAGCAGCAGCGATGTTGGCTGGGTGCTGGTAGGTGGAGCAGCAGTGATGTTGGCTGGGTGCTGGTAGGTGGAGCAGCGGTGATGTTGGCTGGGTGCTGGTAGGTGGAGCAGCAGTGATGTTGATGTTGGGAGTTTGTAGATGGAGGGTTAGTGTTGGCTGGGTGCTGGTAGGTGGAGCAGCAGTGATGTTGGCTGGGTGCTGGTAGGTGGAGCAGCATTGATGTTGATGTTGGGAGCTTGTAGATGGAGGGTTAGTGTTGGTTGGGTGGTGCTAGATGTAGGGTTAGTGTTGGTTGGTTATTGGTAGGTGGAGGAGCAGTGATGTTGATGTTGAGTGCTTGTAGATGGAGGGTTAGTGTTGGTTTGGTGGTGCTAGATGGAGGGTTAGTGTTGGTTGGTTACTGGTAGGTGGAGGAGCAGTGATGTTGGCTGGGTGCTGGTAGGTGGAGCAGCAGTGAAGTTGATGTTGGGTGCTTGTAGATAGAGTGTTAGTGTTGTTTGGTTGGTGGTAGATGGAGGAGCACTGTTGACTGGGTGCTGGTAGATGGAGCAGTAGTGATGTTGGCTGGGTGCTGGTAGGTGGATGGTCAGTGCTGGCTGGGTGCTGGTAAGTGGAGGAGCAGTGATCTTTTTGGATTGGCTTTTGCTTCCAAGATGACCATCTTTTAAGTGCAGTTTTTTTTCTCTCATTTCATTTTTTTTTTGGACTCGATTCTTAACCTCAGCCATATGAATCTTTTAAAGATTTTTTCTTGTACTCCACAGCATGATGGAAGCCTGCTGGTGAGTGACTGAGCTTCTTTCTCCAAGACATCCACTGCGTTGGGAAGCTCCATGAGGGAGGCACCTTGCTTGGTCCTAAACAGTTCCTCAATTTGTTGAATAAAATCATAGGCTTCTTGGGAGGGATGACAAAGAGCACCTGCCTTGAACACTTTTAAGTTCACTAAGATGTTGTATTCTCCAACAGGACTGTCTACATTGCACTGTGTTGCAGTTTTGCATTTTTCACAGATGGTGGCAAACTTGATGACTTTGTGGACAATGTAACCTGCAAGATGGAAGAGGGTACATTTCTCAGTTTTTGTGAGGTCAGGTGCTTTTCTGTTTACTGCAATCAGCTCTTCCACGCTGACTGATGGAGTGACATTTTGCTCCACTGTGTCCAGGAAGTCTGCCAAAAAGCTACTGTCGTCTTCCTGGTAGCTTCCAGACCTGATGGTGGTGAGGAACTGCCCCACAGTTATGAGTCTCAGTGCATGATGGAATTCCACTGGAGTTGGTACCGGATTTTTAGACCTCACACAGCTAAATGTATTTTCAAGGCAGTCTTGTGTGAACCTTGAAGTTAATACAAACTTGTGTCCCCTTGTAAGCATCTCCTCCTTTATGGCCAAACTCGATGTTGTTGCCATTATCACCCCTGTTTGTACAGGCTTCCAGCCTCCTTTTTGACCAATCTTCATTCCATTGAACACAGGGTGTCCGCGGGTCCTTAAAAAGTCTTAAAATGTCTTAAATAACGTTTTCCTAATATAAGGCCTTAAAAAGTCTTAAAATGTCTTAAATTCGGATTCGATGGGTCTTAATTATTTTTGGTCTCATTACCGCTAAAATATCTTCAGTCTGACGGACCTAATGACTTTACAATCATTGGACAGACCGAAGATTGTTTATTCATAACATGATATAGTTAAATAACACCATGACAAGTGAGCTATTTTGCTCAATATTCTCACGACGCAAAAAAAATAAACATTCAAACGGGCGCGGGAAGATGTTTTCGGTTGGGGGTGCTGTGTGTGTGTCTGTGTTGGGTGACTGGGGGGGGGTCACTTACGTCGGTGCTGGGAATTTGGAAAGTTTTTGCTGGGATGGGCATTTTAAAAAATCTGAAATTCGCTTTTGCTCCATTCTCCTTGTATTAAAGTTAATCTTCTTCTCATTCTGTACAGTTCGTGTCGGGGTGCTGCAGCCCCCTCAGCACCCCTACTTCCCGCGTCCCTGCATTCAAAACACCTATAGAGTGCAGGCATTACGTGAAGTCTAGTGCGCCTGCGCATTTAGAGTGCGCTCGGCCTGATCACTGCATGATTCAGTCTATTAAAATAATAATGTGTATTTCCATTACAGGTTTAGGTCTTAAATTTCATATAAGGTGGTATTAAAAAGGTCTTAAAAAGTCTTACATTTAACTTGTTAATGTCTGCAGAAACCCTGTGAACAGATGGATGATATCCTGGAGGAAGATGATGGCTTTTTCATACTCCATCTTGATCTTGCTGAGTGCTGTAAAAAAGAGAAGCCTTTCAAGAAGTGATGGCATTAAAAATAGCTCCCAATTTATCAGCTGCAGCCATCAACCCAAGTCACTTTGGGAAAATGAAAGTTGGTCATGCTCTCAATGTATTCAGTAAGGCAACAAGTGCTGGGCTGAAATACATGGTGCACCAAGAAAACCGCCCTCTCTCCTACCTGACAACAGCGTGGTTCCTGGAGCAAGTTGATCACTGGTTTGATCTGATTGAGACTTTAGTC